CCCTGGCCCTCGGGTGCTCATGGTGGCCAGGGAGGGCCCTGGCTGCGGCGCTGCCGTCACCGTCGTGGCGCAGCCACCGCGGGTGTCCCCGGGCACAGGGGGGACAGGGCTTGAAGGCCAAGTGCTGCCCGTGATGATGATGATGATGATGATGATAACGATGATGCTGCCAGCTTACCTGGCATGACAGTGTCATTACCCCAGCCCAAGGGCCGGGAGCACCACGGGGGCTTTTGTAGCTGTTTTGCTTCGTCGCATCGGCTGGAAAGTGGGACTGGTTGGGGAGAGCAAAGCCCGGCCTGGCTGGTGGGGTTTGGGGGTGGCTTCTGCCAACAGGCCCCCCCATACAGCCACCCCCAAACCCCTCCCGTGTCACATCTCCTCCCCCTCTGGCCAATGCTATATTGCTTCTACAAAAAGAGGTTGTTGCACTTTTTAAATAATTCTCTTAATTTTTTTTTCTTGTTAATTTTTTTTTTGCAAAGAAAAAAAAAAAGCTGCTTAAAGTGACATTTCAACCATGTTTTGACCGCTGTAATTCCTGCAGTCAAAGGAAGTTCTTAGTCCATCAGTCCAAGAACTGTACTGAACATGCTGAATTTTTACCTGAAAAAAATACTGTGTCCAGTAGGTAACAAGAGAACAAGACACTGACCTGTCCGCTGCATTTCTTAAGTTGGTGTTTGTAAATGAAAGCCACCGTATCAGCTGTGTACATTTGTTCTGTCACTGGTAAGAAAACCGTGGTACTAAATGTCATTCGATCAAATAAATTATTACATCCGAGCCGTGGAAGTGTAAGACTGAGTCCGGGGAGCACGAGGGGGTTTCTGGGGTTGGAAGGGGCTCAGGGAGGGTCCGTGTGGGGCTGGCTGCAGCCTGGCACAAACCCAGCGGCCGCTCTGGTGACACGGGACAGGGCTGCTTTCCGCTCGCTTTGTTATCGGCTGCACATTGCACCCAGGACAGCAAAACAGTAATTAGCATCTCATTTGGCCCAGAACCATAACGACAGCAGGGCCTAGTTCCTACGCAGCACAGCAGGAAAGGGGTTTTCTTCCCTGGACTTGTTGCAACCGGAGGAACCTTGGACATGCATCATCCATCCCAGCCGCAACTACCTGGTAAAAACAGCCCTGTGGTGCCACGGCTGAAGGGCAGCGCTGAGATGCAGCCGAGCTGCCCTCCACCACAGCAGGGAAACAAGAGCTCTGCTCAGAAAACTCAGAAAGCCGCAGTGTTGTTCATCCTGGTATAAAGTGTTTATTTGAGACTTCACAATTAACACAAAGTCTTCCTTTCGATGCCTTTGCTTTTTCATACAGTCAATATGTTTGCATTATTCCCTCCCTCCCCTGTGCATGATTGCTGGTTATTAATCTAAGCCTTTTTATTTTTCACCATGAAAAAATAAAGCGTTTCCCCCTTTCATCTGCTCCCTGTACCACTGCCATCCCCTGTGCTGCATTAAGGAGAAGATGCAGAATTGCTATGCCTACCACAGGGGCTGAAGTTACTCCATTATTTATTGATTTATTCTTTTTACAGGAAGTGTTAAATGAATCAATCACCCAAGAAAAATAAATATATTGTAAAGAACAAGAAGTTCTGCAGTATCCCTTTTCTTTACATAGAGCTGCGGTTTAAACACAGACGTTGCTTGTGGCAAATCATTTCACTCACTTATAAAAGGCCTTGTGGCCGCTTGTGAACTTACACTGAAAAAGAATCTGTTCCAAAGGAGCAGTGCCAGGAGCCAGAAGAGGTATTTTACATGCCAGCTTTTTGTACCTGGGCCAGCGAGATCCACCTGGAAGCCAGTTACCATGTCCCGCGGATCGGCTTCCCTCGAACGCAATTCCAGCTTGTGCTCTTCCAAAAACACCAGCTCAGCACGCGCGGGCGCAGCAGGGCCAGGTCCTGGCTCCAGCTGCTGCGTTTGGCTCCTTTCACACTGCGTTTGGCACCGGCCTCGCAAATAAATTATTCAATTAATGCCCCTGCTCTCGAGCTGCTCCTTGGGGGCGGCAGGGGTCGGTCAAGGAGGCTTTTTCGCAGCAAAGAGGGTACTGGGCAGGCCCTGACGTGCAAGACCCAGGCCTGGGCTCTACTGACTTGCTGTGCAAAGGGAGTACTGCATCAGAAACTGCAGAAGACTATAGTTTAATCAAAGTCACCAGCCGCCGCATCGGAAACCTGCTAACAATTGTGCCAAATCTTCTGGCTACTTTTTGTTGGTTTCCTTCTTTTTTTTTTATTTTTTTTTACATAAATAATATAGACCGAACATTATAAACATTTCAGCAACCATTTCTAAAAGACCGGAGGAGCCCTTTTAGGCGCCAAGAAACAACTGCAGGATTCAAATTCCAAAACTGTCTTTGGAGTCATCGAATCATCAGATTTACACAGCACCCGGGGACAAAAATACTCAGTCAAGTTCGATAGGGCTGCTATCTTCCTGACCGTCCTCTGCGTCATCGTCTTCTCCAGTTCCCATCAGACTGTTTAAAAGATTTCCTACATGAAACACGGGACAGTCAGATTGGCCAGTTTTACATCCTCATCGCAAAATCTTTGACTAATTTCCTACTTGTCTAAGGTGCACGTTTCAATAAGAAATGATCAAAAAACTTATGTTGAAGTAACATCCATTCCCACTAGGAATTTATTGATATGGAAAGTTCTATTTTGATACTGTTCCTTTTTCAAGAGCACACTGGCCAAAAAACACCCATATTTATGTATATAATTGTGTCCTGAGGGGGAAAAAGAAAGAAGAGACACCTCCAATGATGAAACTCTCCAACAGTAACACTGCCGTGCGCCACACTATAAAGGATTTATCTGAGGCATTTGTGCATCACCTGTTTTGCTCCATTTAAAGATGCCTGAATTTCTACAATGATGTTATTTGCAGATGCAATTATGATGCTCATAGATTTTTCATCAAATTTTGAGTATCAGCGAATGGGCATTTGCAGGTAAAGCTTCAAGGCAGATTGCACAGGAGCTTAGTTCTCAAGGAAAGAAAATGGACTTTACAGAAGTAATCCCGTTCAATGTCTTCCCATCTCATTTTATTCAAAGAGCCAAGAAATAAGGCCTACATTTCTATATTCCTTTTCCTTTGTTGTAAAAAGGCAGGATTCATTTCAAAACTTCGAGTTTGAGGGCATTAATTTTACATCAGCTCCAGTCAGACCACTACCAAAGTTCCAGATTTTACATTCAGAAAAGCAGCCGTTGAAGTCGGAGCAAATTAAGTGTTAACAACAATAGGGTTTTGCTCTACAGTTTCAACTTAAACCATAATGTTAAAATTAAGAATATTTTACATGTTTCTTCCCTCCTCAGAAAGGAAAAGTCTACCAGCTACCTCACTGCAATCTCATCTGCAACCCCTTCATCTTGCATTCGACAGCAGGGACCGTTTCCACAGGCCGTGCCAAAGGAAATTCAGGGTGATGGTACCTCAGAACACCCCAGCTGCTGTTCGCGCCTGTTCCACACAGGCTGCAGCTGTGGCAAGGCCGGTGGTACCTTAGAACACTTACCTAGTAGCCCTCCATAGGACGATGTCTGCTTGGGCGGCACTCCGAAGAAAAGCTGTCCTATTCTGTCTAGGTACTGAAACGACACAGGGGAGAAGGGGTCAGCCAGCTCGGGCAGGGGAAACCCTCTGAGGAGCAACCACGTCCCACAGGCTGGGGCACTGACCCCTCTCTAAAAGCTGGATGCAGAAGCCCCCCTTTTGAAGTGTGCCAGGAAAACTAAAATGCTGCATAAACTGTCTCTCTGAATTGCTATCCTGCTCCCAAAGGACACTCCTCCATATATAAGGTATGGATTAGCATTCAGCTGCTCAGAGGAAACCCTGAGTTCAGCACATTTTGGTGGCTGTGGCAGCCAGACTCGGTAGCCTGGGACATCCAAATTTGCAAAGTCACAAAACAGGAGACAATCAGCTTTTATTGAACCAATTCTGTAGGTTACGCCCTGTTCACAACTATTAGGAACTCACCTCATTATACATGGGATCTCTTTTCAGTGAAGGTTGATACTGTTCACACAATACTGTAAATACTGTTAGTTTTCCCCTAGAAAGGAAACAACACAAAATGCAACCTCAGTAACAGATAAAAAGGCAACAAAGAAGAAAGCAAGAAAAACCAAACTGTACCCGTCAACGGCCAACAACAGAAACCAGATGAAGTTTAGCAGTGGTTGAACAAAGGGCGGACCCTTTTCTATCGACGGATGTTTCTGTGTGTATGTCGTAAAAACAACTGAGGCGCTGGTCTTATTTTTTAAGCAGAGAAATCTGTAAAGGGAAGCAGAACAGAGCAGGTTAAAAATAAAATACAGAGAAGAAATTTTACATGCAGAAAGAAATAGGGAAGGCAAATGCTCAAGAGCCTCTACTTCATTTGTGCACAGAAGCCTTCTCAGGCTCAAGCTGATAGCAGAAACCTGAACTGGGAGAGATGTGCATCTTAGGTTTGGAAATCAATTTTGAGGCTATGAAAATCCCTATTCAACTAACTAGCTTGTGCTATGAGCAATTTCCCTGGGGGACTCATATCAAACATTAATAGAATGAGTTAAACCTAAGCAAATTGTATACAGGAAGGGCATCAATTAAACAGAAGTGTGCAAAGACTGGCTACCATCTGATTCAATTTAAATGGGACATTATCTTTAGGAGTCCAGAGTTTACTATGTTGAGGTAAAAACCCAGTCAAAATAAATCTCATCTGGCCTCATCCACTCCCAAATTCATCACATTTCCACCCAGTGACCCTACCGTTCTTTTATCATCATCTCAGAATAACACAGAACCAGGACTCCTACTGACTTTGGTAAGTCTCACAAAGCCCTCTGTGCATTTGCCCTCCCCAGTGATGTGGCAGCAGTTAGCAGATGACTTTCCCACGCTGGTCAAATCTTTGTTCGGATCCAGTGAATTTACCCGGGTCATCTTTGCAAGGCCACAGGCCAAGCACAGGCTCTATCGGTGCTGGCCACAAGCCGTCTCCCTTCTCCAAAGCCAAAGACCGTGTGGGGAAAAGGGACTCTCTTATCTTACTGCTGAGTAAGGAATTTTGGTGCTTTTCATTGGATCATGAACCACCACATGACAGGACTTTGCATGGTGTTTGACACCATACAGGCCAGTAAAGGATGTAGGAGCATTTCTGGATAAATACCAGAGAAAATAATCCCATAGCCATAAGCTCTCACCGGAATTGCCCCATCTCAGAACAAAGCCCCACTACGAGCTCCAGCAGTGCTGCATATTCTGGTCCCCTATCAATGCTCTCCCACTCTCTGCAATCGCTGCAGTCCGGATCGAAGGGAGCTGAAGTGCCAGCTCGCTGCTGCCAAGAGCGACGGGGCTGCTCTCACCTCTTCCCTCTCCAGCACTTACTCCCCCACTTCTCTCATTCCCTGCTGCACAGCCCTGTCTCCACCTCCTCCTCAGCCTCCTCCATAAGCTGCTTTCCTTCACTGAATACGCCATCAATTATTAAATACAGTAAAATTGGCTTTGTTAACCTAAATTACACACGGGCTCTGCAAAGAACATAATAGTTTGCATTCCCACCTCCTACAAAATAAACACTTAAAGCAACCGAAAGCCACCAGCAAGTCTGTTCAACGGAGCCCTCACACTGCTGCTTGTAAAGGGGTTGACAGTAAGAACGAGGCTAAATGCAAGTATGAAGCCCCCTTAGCCCCAGCCTCTGCAAGGACACATAGGCAAATCTTAACCAGCTGCAAGGCAGTGTTAATAAAAACATAAGAATCATGTTTTCAGGGCAACACAGGTTACGTTTACTCTTTATGCAGTTAACATGATTTCATATTTCAAGCTTAATGCTATTTTTTTTTTAATCTCACCAATTCAGCATACCAGTCATGAGACAGTCTGCTCGTGTTGCTACCACACAAAAGCAGTCTTGGCAGCTTTGTCCAGTTTTGACAAGGACAGGCAGCTAACCTACAGTTACCCTGGTTAAATCAGGCTGCTGTCAAACACAGCAAAACAAGCAAAATGGGAACACCTACTGCAGGACGGCCTGTGCCACAAACATGTCCACCTCGCTGCGGTAGCCCCTCGACGAGGAGTACTCCACTAGCATATTTGCACACCCTTCGCCATCTGTGGAGTGCAAGAAGTGATACCGAGATTCACTATAGTTTTGCTCTATAAAAGGAAAAAGAAAATGGCTTTTAAGAAATCAGTTCAACAGACTTAAAAAACACATTTTCTAGGCTTGTACATTATTGCTAAAAAAAGAGTAAGAGCTGTACACACAGAATACAAAGAACATGACTATCAGAGACAGAGAATTCTTTTATTTTTTAAGTTACAGCTCACAAAGGTCGATAATAAAATACATTATTCTAAATATATTTGAATCACTGCTATTAAAAAACCATTTAATTCAATGTCACCAAAGAAGAAAGCTACCACTGGGACAAATAGCCACCTTGCAGCAGTTGGCTCATTTTGTTCAACAGCATCCTGGCACTTAATGTGCTATCATCAGCACTTCAGAGAGGAACAAAAAAGCTCCATATTTAAACATGTGCACCAAGAAACCAGGCAGCTCCTTCAGCATCCTTCTTTCTAAGTGCAGAGAAGAAGGTATCTCCTATTTTTAGCTTAGCCCACTCTTGCTATCAAAATTTAAATTACTTCCATATGCTGAATAGAGTGGCAATTATGTAGGGACAAAAATCATTAATGCAAATGGTTTGTTAGAGCTTAATTTGAAACAAAGTATCATGCAAACCCACAGTAATGACAAACCCAAACTGTAAAGTTGCTGATTTTTTGAATCTAAAAGCTTTTGTTTTAAAAATCTAAGCCACTTCTGATGAAGCTGTTGAAAATAAAAAACTAAGCAAATGTGTTTTGTGCTTCAAAAGAATGGCAACCAGAGGGCCAGAAAATGTAGACTTCTACTTTTAAAACATGACTGTTTCTTATGTTTCTTATGCATCTCAGTTTCAAACTTTGATGCTCTGCAGAAAATCCTCCCTTTTTGGCTGGCAGCAGCTCCCAAAACCTAATGCAGCTCCCGGGAGAAGAGCTACGGGATCACTATGCACAGAGCAAGGCAAAGAGCTGGGCTGGTGACCACTGGGTCAGGATTATGATATGAAACCCTCATCACCACCTTGTAGCTCCTAAAAACCTAAATGAACCTTGTACTGTTAATAATTCATGAGAAACCACAAAAGAGAGAACATTTACTCCACTGTTCTCACTCACCTTTGTGTTTGCAGCATTAGCACCTTAAAGACTATCACCCACAATTAAAATACTTTAGGTTATTTTAGCCCATTTTATATTCCATTATGAGACCAATAAAATCCCAAATTAACTAACTGCATCAGTGTTCATTCTGAAAATATTATTTCCAAAGTGGCAATTTTAGAGTATCTTATTTTCAATGTTATATTAAAAAAAAATTAATTGTTCTTACCTTTCCACAAGGTAATTGCTAGTAACTGGTGTAGTTTTGGATGACCAAGTTTTCCTGATCCTCCACTCGACCATTTCAACGCTCTGGATACGAAAGCCACTCTCTCAGGAGAATTTGGATCCATTAAACTAAATAATTTAGCCAAGTTTTCTGAAAGCAATGATATTCACAAATATTTACTATTAACAGAACAACCTCCTGCTTCTGGTGCATCTTTTAAGACATTTAAGACATGGTATCATAGTATATTTAAACTCCCTTATTAGCTTGCACAAGATGTCTTTAAAAAGCAGCGTCTTTGACCACGAGCCACTTCTCAAATGTCAAGTCAGCCGTGCAGCCATCAGTGGGCAGCACTGAACAGCCAAAAGCTGTGCCCTACAGTCGGCGAGACCACAGCTCCCATCTCCTGGTTTGGTCAGAACACCCCAGAACATCACACAGTCTAAAGGAGCGGGACAGACTGCCATCCCCCCGGTCCTAGGGACACCTCTGCCTGTGTGGACCCTACATTCACTCCTGCACTGAGGAGAGGACGATGCCACAAGACAGTGATGTTTGTTCTAAGCGTGCCCCTGTGCTCAGCATACTGGTGGCTACCAGGAATCCATTATTATCCAATAATTTTGCCTTTTGCCTACAGTTCTCTACTTTGTGTTAGCCATGTGGGAGCACGCATGCACACACATACACACAGAATCAGGTCTCAAGACTGTTGACAACAGTGTAAGTATTTTGAAGCAAAAATGCATCTTAAATACCATCAAAGAAAGTGCAAAGTTCACCTTACCTAAAAGGTCATCTGTTACTTTTGCATCTGATTTCTCCAAAGACTCCAAAACCAGCATGGACAGATCAGCAGCGCTATTTTGCTATAAAACAGATATACACCGGTAGCAATGAAGATATCATTAAATAAGTTTTGTTTCTCAAGTAGAAGTTTGTCAGAAGTAGATTATACTTTTATCAAGAGGACACATAAGGCACAACGTTACCAAACCCCAATCTTCCCTTATAAAAAGTAACCATAATTTGGTGGTAACAAAATAGGAAGTCTCCAGGAAAGCACAGCCAAACATGACTAAAATTCCTATTTGGACACATGCAAATGTTCCAATCAGCAAAAATACTTTGTGGGGAAAGACTCAACAGGTACATCAAAGATTGCAGAAAAAGTCCCCCAAATATACACTGCTGAGAACTTACCATTCGCCCCATAAAAGCTCTGAACAACCACCTCAAAATCGCCCCCACGGGAACAGGGACGTACCTGGTTATGACTGAAGAACAGCAAAGCCCCTGAATACATTAGCTCTCTTGCTTCTGCATGTTTTCCCTGCGACATATACCTGAAATCAACAGCAAAGCCATGTCAAGTCCTTGATAAAAACTACCACCAAGCAACAAGTTGTGCATGTTCAAAATTATTCGCACATAAAGTGATTAAAGACTATAAAATTTAAAACTAAGGCTATGAAGTATTTATTTTAAAATTAAGTTAGTTTCAATAACGATGTTCCTTGAACTGAAACCAGTAATTTGTTTTCTGCTCGAGCCTAGATGGAATACAAGCTAATAGTGTGTGAATGAAATCTGAGAGCTTCAAGTCCAATTTGCAGTGAAACAAAGAAAGGTAAATTATTCCAGAAGTTCACAGGAACAAAAGATGTCAAAGCACAAAGCTCAGGCTGTCACACTAGAGCTTTCACCAAATCCAAATTAGTCACAGGGAACCAGCCCAACCTTACACCTCGGACAGCTCCTACTCACAGCCACGGTCATGGTGAGTCACCGCATGTTACCCAGTTAACATCTCTTAACATATTTTACATTGTGTTTATAGCAATATACCAATATACAATGACCATCTCGACTGAAGGAACCATACCAGGGCCAGCCCTTTCATCAATGATGTCCTTTTTCTATTAAGTCTTTCTGAGCACTACATCTGCCCACAGGACAAGCAGGTAAAGGGCAACTATTGGCCTTTTGCTGAACTAAAACAGCTTGTCTCTGATTCTCCCTAGTCAGACAAGAGAAGCCAGCAAGCTCTTCCACACAGTGCTGTACAGAGTCTAAAATGTCATCAATTCATAAAAATAACAGATCTGGTGTTTCAAGTGTCATGCTTCGAAACCCAAGGGCTTCAGCAGCTACCTTCTACACTTGAGAATTTACCAGGAAAGGAAGGAGGCGAGAAAAGGCTCCCAAGATTCCTCAAGAACAGCAGCCTCTTACCAGCTCACTGCGTGCCTTACCCACTGCAGCCTCCTGCACATCATCACTATCAGTAGGCTAAAGGGCTTGGACAGTCACATCTCTAGATTAGAAATGCTTCCTATTTTCCTTTTAAGAAGTGGTAGCGGATCTAGTTTCCGATGTCCATTTCTCTTAACCTTGTCTCAAAAAGAACATTTTCCGACGTGTCAATAACGACAGGCAATTTGCTCAAAGTCCTGACACCAGCTCTGCCCAACTGCTTCAGCATCAGCAATGTTTGCTCTGTCCTCTGCGGCGCCTGGTCCTGCTGTGTCCCCGCTCTGCGCGGGGCAGCTCCAGCCAGCCGAGGGCCCCGGTAGAGCAGACGTGAGCAACATCCCCAGGGACAAGCGCTACCGGCGGCCAGAGTTACCGTAGGATGCACCAGGAACTGCCGGTAAGCACAAGTCCTGGCAGCAACCAGAGAAATCAGATAATGAGCAATGCAGGAGAGACACGTCAAAATGCCCAAGTGTTTTATCCAAAGCAGTACTACTAACCGAATCTTTTTTTTTTTTTTTTTTTTTTTTTTTTTTTGGGTTGTTTTGGTTTGTTTTTAAATAAGTCTCCTCAACAAGTTAGCTTTGCAATTGCCACAGTAGCGACTATGGGCATTTGTCACAGTTTGGCTGATCCTGCTCCTTTACAGCTGGCCTTGCTTCCAGATTTGCTTCTAGGCTTTTCACTCTAAATCTCACCGTGAGAGAGATTCCACTTCTGCAGATTCCTGACTCAAAACAGTGCTTGGTGACACAGCTCCTAATCCAGCAACTATTGCAGCAGATGCATAAAGATACTGCAAAAAGCTTTATAATAAAAATTTTAAAATAGACGTTTTCTTAAAAAATACCTTTTATTAAAAAGGATTTTTAATAGAAATAAATATTCACCACAACAATCTAACTAGCACTGAAAACCAGAGGGAGAAACTTTTTCATAACCACAATCCCAGGCCAGGTTATTCATACCAGCAAGACTGCCTACAAGTTTCAGGAAAACAGAGACCAGTTTAAGTACAACAGTGTTGTTAAACTTGGAAGTATGACTAAATCACCAAATCACCACAGTCCGAACAGCCTTCGGGCCAGGTATCTGTGCTCAGAGGAACACGGGGTCACCGCACAGTCGGGAACAGCAGTTTTCCTCCTTACATGGGATGGCAGGGAGGGACGGAGCTCTGCGGGAGGCAGGTTCATGCTAATCTTCCCTCCTCCTCCTCCTCCATTTCTTCCCCTCCCTCCGCTCTCCGGCCTCAAATTCGTCTGTTTGTGACTTTTGAAACTCTGAGTCAGGATGCCAAGTCTAATGTGCACATCATGACAGAACAGGCAAATATTTTACAGGCCTGTTTTGTTTAAAAGCTGTAAGCACTGAGAGTCCCAATGACAATTCTGCAACTGAGATCACCTCAGTCTGTGTAGTTTAATGTCTTCCTGGAAAACTGTTTACATTCAACTGGATTTTACAGGGGACAGGCAAGACTAACCAGGACTCCTTCTTGGCCTCAGTCACTTTCCAAACAAGTTTCACAATCTCATTCTGTCTTTCTGCCTAGAAGAAAAACATCTTCCTAGCTATGAATTTGTCACCTTTTATCTAAATGAACACCTTCTTTTTCTCTGGGTTTAAAACAGAAAAGACAGTATCTTCCATTCCATGTTCCAAGCCAAATCAGTGAGGCTTAACTAAAGCATACATGTATGTAAGTTAATATATTACAAACGCATAAAAGTGCTCATATATATATACACATGTATGTATATGTACCTAAATTAACACACTTATCACACTGGATGGGAAGTGACCTCCTGAGCTGTCACCTTCTGCATTTGCAGCCATCGCATCACATAATCCTAACTATAAAATAGGCCATGTTTGGTCTCAAAAGTAAAAGTATTTGAGAACCAGTTTAAGACTGGTTCTTAAGCACGGTGCTCTCCCTGGGCCCATTGGAAGGCTGCTACAGACCACACGGCTTTCATGCCACGGTGCTTGGCACTTAACAGGTCTGCAGCACACACGGGTGACAGACGTAGACACATTGGTGACTGTCCCCCAAAGCTGGCCCCTATTTCTCTGACGGGGCTCTCAGGCCTGTTCCAACCCAGCTTAAAGGGGCTAGGATAAAATGATGGGCAAGGGGGGCTACCGAGACCCAGAACTCCATCTTCCTGCTTGTTTTCCCTAGCAGAACTACAAGTGGCAATTTTAGCTAAGCAAAGGAAGGCCCTAAAAAAAGACACCTTATTTGTTAGCCCTGAAAGCAAGTGACTACATTTTAAACTTTGATGAAAGAACAAGCGACTGTGTAAAGTTAGAGTAAACGCGAAAAACTATTAAAAGCTTTTGCAATTAGCTTAAGGATAAGCTCACGATGACCTAGGAGGCACCAGCAACAGCTCCGAATAAGATGCAGGCCTCTCTCCTGAGCTGTTGTCACACAGACACGACACCGAGCAGGTTCTTCCCTGACTGAAACGCCACCGCGCAGGCGACACTGGTCCTTTCGGGAGCTGCCCGCTCCCAAAAGCGGGGCCGGCGCTGCCATCCCGCCCGTTCGCGGCACCCCGGAGCGCGGCCTGCTCGCACAGCAGCTGCCCCGTCCCCATCCCCGTTCCTGTCCCTGTCCCCGTCCCCTGGGGCCGCCCCCCGCGGCTGCTGCGGGACGGGGGCGGTCGGGCCGGGTCGCCCCGTTCCTCCGTCCAGGCCGGGCCCCCGACAGCGCTCACGCTACCCTGCGCTGCGTACACCCGCCCCCTCCCCCAGCGACCCAATGAGAGACCGAGTGGAGGAAACGGGCAGCAGCGCGGACCAATGGGGAGCGCGTGTGGGCGCAACGGGCACGCAGCAAGGTAGGCTGCGTGGGAAGGCTCTGGAAGGGCG